CTTGTACAAACTGACCAATGGCGGCAGCTCGTATAAACCGACCAATGGCGGCAGCTCGTATAAACCGACCAATGGCGGCAGCTTGTACAAACTGACCAATGGCGGCAGCTTGGATAAACCGACCAATGGCGGCAGCTCGTATAAACCGACCAATGGCGGCAGCTTGTACAAACTGACCAATGGCGGCAGCTTGGATAAACCGACCAATGGCGGCAGCTCGTATAAACCGACCAATGGCGGCAGCTTGTACAAACTGACCAATGGCGGCAGCTTGGATAAATTGACCAGCGGCGGCAGCTCGTATACCTCGTACCTGAACTCTGGGGCCTGGTCTCTCTTGCCGTAGAACGCTGCAGACAGAGTGAGGAGCCATCGTGGCAGGAGCTTCCCGCGCTCACATTCCAGATACGGCGAGGACCAGAGCACGTGGCTTCTGTCTGGGATGAAGCTCTCTCTCTGCTCCACAGAGAAGTCCTGACTCAGCACACTTTTGTGGAACAGCGGCTTCTTCCGGCGCTTCAGGCCGTGGTACCACTCGCTCTCTGGGCTCCTCTGGTGGAGATGGTCCTCAGACAGGTCCTGCAGGAGGGTGTGGCCTCCTGAGCGTGTGGCCTGCAGTAGAACATCAGGCTTCACTGAGTCCACACTGAAGCTCAGCACAGCGCGGTGGATCCTCTCGTCTCCTTCAATAATGCTCCGGACCAGCGCCTGGTACCACTCTATGTCCGAGCGCAGACTCTGCTCCCTGGACCTGTGTGAGGTCAAAGTATTACAAATAAGGAATCCTCAAACTAGTGTCAAAACTATACATGCAATAAAGGGACTGTATGTAATATTTCCATTGTAAATAACATCTACATCAGGGGTCACCAACCTTTTTGAAACCAAGAGCTACTTCTTGGGTGCTGATTAATGCGAAGGGCTACCAGTTTGTTACACACTTACATAAATTGCCAGAAATAGCCAATTTAATCAATTTACCTTTAACTCTACATTATTCTTAATAATTAATGATATTTATCTTTCTGGAAACACTGATCTTAATGATTTCTCACAATAAATATTTATAAAAACAGATAAATATCAATTTGCAACACTTTATTTTAGTATTTTCTCTAAGTGCACGTTTTTACAAATTGAACATTTTCAAATGATCACTTCTAAGACAGTCTTGTGAAATCACAATATCCCATTTTAACTAGCTAGCCACGAACATGTTTTTATCAAATCATGAATTACTTTGTAAAAATAATTACTATTGTAAAATACAAATGTCAACTCTCAAATTTTTTAATTAATCATGTCACACGCGATGGCGATCTCACAGGAGATTAGAAACCAAAGGGTCCCATTTACGCTGCTACTTCCTCCTCAGAACAAAAACATCAGTGAAGCTGTTTGAGATCATTCCATGTGTTTCTACTGTAGGTTTATGTGACCGTTCTAAACTCATCGTTTAGAACGGTCAGCATTACATTTAACTGTAATGCTGTGAATAAAGACACAGTTCTTGTTGGAAATGTTTAAATTTCCCCACTGTGGGATGAATAAAGGAATTCTTATCTCAAACATAGTTATTATTAAAGTGTATTCAGCACAAACAGCATAACAATAAGTGGTAAATGTCTGAGACATACATGAACCATTTACAAGTGCAGGAGGAATGCAACAGACAAAGCTACGATTCAAACAAGACAGGAACAGTGCAAAACAAACGACTGCACAGTTTATAAGTTATATATATATTAGATATAAGTTATATATAAGTTAGATATATGTTATATATAAGTTAGATATGCGACAGAGCTCTAGTCCACAGTCTCCTGTATTTCAGGCTCTGAGCCCAAACTACTTTTCCTTTCGAAGCACAAAGCAGTCTGCTCTGAAGTGCCTCGTCCATGCTCCTGCAGCCACTCCATGCTTCACAGAAAGTAATCACACACGGACCAATCACAGCGGAGCTTGTCTGCGGCGGCGGCCGCGTAGTACATGTTCGAGGGTGCGCGGCAGGCTACGTAAGGGTCTTGCGGTGATCCAGATCAAAGTTTAACTACAAACTGTATAAATATCCATTAACCAGAACAGCTCCTCACTCTCCTCACACTTTGTTTCATTCACTAGTTTTTACGTCACTTCTTTAGATCAGAACAAAAGAGAAGGAGCTCAGGAATGTCCTCTCTCCCAGTGGCAACATCAGGAACCTCAGAATCAATACCTCCCCCAGGCTGTTATTCTCACTTAACCTCACCCCTTTTCCAAGAAATACAAAATGATCTCAAACTTCTATCAGCTCCAAACCAACACACATGTCTGCTGTGACTCTATGATGTCTGTCTGCTGTGACTCTATGATGTCTGCTGTGACTCTATGATGTCTGTCTGCTGTGACTCTATGATGTCTGTCTGCTTTGACTCTGTGATGTCTGTCTGCTGTGACTCTATGATGTCTGTCTGCTGTGACTCTATGATGTCTGCTGTGACTCTATGATGTCTGTCTGCTGTGACTCTATGATGTCTGTCTGCTGTGACTCTATGATGTCTGTCTGCTGTGACTCTATGATGTCTGCTGTGACTCTATGATGTCTGTCTGCTGTGACTCTATGATGTCTGTCTGCTGTGACTCTATGATGTCTGCTGTGACTCTATGATGTCTGTCTGCTGTGACTCTATGATGTCTGCTGTGACTCTATGATGTCTGCTGTGACTCTATGATGTATGTCTGCTGTGACTATGATGTCTGCTGCTCTTCTAACCTAGCCTCAGTCCTGGGTCTACAGCCTCAGTCCTGGGTCTACAGCCTCAGTCCTGGGTCTACAGCCTCAGTCCTGGGTCTACAGCCTCAGTCCTGGGTCTACAGCCTCAGTCTTGGGTCTATATCCTCAGTCCTGGACTTTTTTTCACATTTCTGGACCCCTCAAAAACGAGATACTTCATCTCCAGGGGCTAATCCCTAAATGAATGAATAACTAAATAACCGAATCAATGGCCCATGTGTTTATTATTGCATTTCCTGTGTTCGAACTGTTTGATTCTCTGATCTGTCATTGGCGAATTTACAACTTTGTGAAGTTGTAAATAAATAAAAAAAATTAAAAGGAGCACTTTAGTGATTTGCACTCGTTGTGAAACTGTTTTAGTCGATCGATTTCACAGTGACATTTGTTTACTGTTTTATTTCTGTCTTTTAATGTTGTTTTATGTCTGTATTTGTCTGTGCACACTGGAGACTTTTTGCTAATGTATTCCAATGTGGTTTTTTACTGCAAATGGCAAATAAATAAAACTGAAACTGAACTGAACTGAAGTCCTCCGAGACGACAGTGATTTAGGGGATACACACATATATTCTATTGTTATTGAAGCTAAAGGTTACAGATGTGTTTCCTTAGTCACCTGGGATCGACATATATCAGTGTCATGTTATTAATCTATAATGGTGTCGCTACCTGTTGTTTTGGAGGATCATGTTGAGGAAGTTGGTGGCGTGTATGATCGTATCCAAGACGCGGCTCATGGACTCCGTGCTCCCCCGCGACGACGCAAGCTCGAACCGGTGGCTGCAGTTGGCGTGAGCCAGTGTACGGGCATCTCCGGTGTGCAAGAAGGCAGCGACTGCGTCTTCCCCGGGATTATCTCCGTCTGGTTGATGCTTCTGCTTCTGCTGATGCTGACGCTGAGGCTGAGGCTGGTCCTGAGGCTGGTGGTGGAGGAGGCTGTTTCCGTGATGATGCCCGACTATCGCTCCATCACCGCCTCTCGCTTCCACCCGGTAGGATCCAAGGAGCGCGCACAACAGCACGGGCAGACGAAGCGTATCCATGTCTCCTGTGAGTGCGTGTGGCCGCCGTGCCGAGCTGCACACACAGATGTTGTTTGGACACGAATCGCCTTTGCGCGGTGCTCAAATCCCTCGCATGCAGCAGCTTGTTGGTGTGAGAGACGCGTCCACTATTCTCTCCTCTCCTTCTCTTCTCTCTCTCTCCCTCTTCTTTCCACAGCCGTAGTTAAGAGCGACACGGAGGGGGGCGGGGTGACTGGCGAGAGCGTATTGTTGTGATTAAAAATATATCTGTCTGTGTTTTCCGGAGGAGTGCGTGCGAGTGGAAGATGCACCAAGGAGCCAGTGTTTGCGAGCAGCTGATTGGTCCGAGAGGCTGCCCGTCAACTCGCAGGGGCAGTTACGTGAAGCCAAAGGCAGTTATTGAGAGATGTGGCTCCAGTTATACCTCATCAGGACACTTTCAAAATCATTATATGGGGCCACACTTGCAGGAAAAAGCCAGACCTTCACGGACCTTTTGAAGCTGAGCAGGGCAGGGAACATCAGGTGTCACATTGGGGTGCATTCATGGTGCATCGGCAAAATACCAGAGAAACATACTTGCAAACATAAGCTATTTTTGTAAGTATACCATGACATTTTTATTTTTCCAACCTGTCCCAGTGTGGAGACGCTTGGTAAATTGATTAACGGGAAAGAAAGGTTTTTTCTTATTTCATGTATCGGGTATTAGTACAATATACATATAATTCCATGTAAATATAAGATTATGGTGACAGATTTATGTTGTATTGGTCAAATGCGAAAGTGAAAGTGTATAAAAAGGACAATTCATGAGGGCGGCACGGTGGCTGAGTGGATAGCACTCTCGCCTCTCAGCAAGAAGGTCCTGGGTTCGAATCCCGGTCGGACCAGGGCCTTTCTGAGTGGAGTTCTCCCCGTGTCTGCGTAGGTTTCCTCCGGGTACTCCGGTTTCCCCTACCACTAAAAATATGTCCAATAGTTCTGGCATGCGCTTCCTGTACTGGCGACCCTGCTCCCATCTCTGTGTGGAGTGAGAGACAATTTCCCAAAATTAACAATTGTAAACCGCTTTGAGACTCAGATCTGCAGTGAAAAGGCGGTATATAAATAAAAACTTACTTACTAAAAACTTACTCATGAAGTTCATGGCCCTGTCTGAAGTTCACAGCCAGGACACTCCTCTGTGGAGAGACCATGTGAAGCCTCCTCTGTGGAGAGACCATATGGAGCCTCCTCTGTGGAGAGACCATGTGGACCCTCCTCTGTGGAGAGACCATATGGAACCTCCTCTGTGGAGGGGTCATATGGAGCCTTCTCTGTGGAGAGACCATGTGGACCCTCCTCTGTGGAGAGACCATATGAACCCTCCTCTGTGTAGAGACCATGTGGAGACCATATGGACCCTCCTCTGTGTAGAGACCATGTGAAGCCTCCTCTGTGGAGAGACCATGTGGACCCTCCTCTGTGGAGAAACCATATGGAACCTCCTCTGTGGAGAGACCATATGGAGCCTCTTCTGTGGAGGGGTCATTTTATGAGCCTTTTGCTGAAATATATGTACAGTATTTCTACTTTTTGTATTTTATTTTATTGTATTATAAAAAGTATATTTTACTTTGTAAACTTTGAATGTGTGTTTTTTGTCTCTTCTGTTTGTTTTATATGGACCCATTGTTTATCTGAATTAAAGATTAAATAAAAAAATAATAAAAAAAATTGGTTTGTTTTAAACAACAAAAACATGGGTAACGTAATTTATTTCTTTATTTGTTTGGAAGAGAAACCCCTTGAGATCAATCATCTCGTTTTTGTGGGGGTCCTATAAGTTTATTAAGTTTGTGTGAGGGCCACACAGCAACATGGATCTTGAAGGTGGTCACACATATGACATACATGACACACGTTGACACGCATGACACATATGACACACATGACACATGTGACACACGTTGACACACATGACACACATGACACACGTTGACACACATGACACACAGTTGACACACATGACACATGTTGACACACATGACACACATGACACACACGACACATATGACACACATGACACATGTGACACACATGACACACGTTGACACACATGACACACATGACACACGTTGACACACATGACACACATGACACACGTTGACACACATGACACATATGACACACATGACACATGTTGACACACATTACACATATGACACACATGACACATGTGACACACATGACACACGTTGACACACAACACATATGACACACATGACACATGTTGACACACATGACACACGTTGACACACATGACACACGTTGACACACATGACACATATGACACACATGACACATGTGACACACATGACACACATGACACACGTTGACACACATGACACACGTTGACACACATGACACACATGACACATATGACACACATGACACATATTGACACACATGACACATGTTGACACACGTTGACACACATGACACACGTGACACATGTGACACACATGACACACGTTGACACACATGACACACGTTGACACACATGACACACGTTGACACATTGACACACGTTGACACATTGACACACATGACACACGTTGACACACATGACACACGTTGACACACATGACACACGTGACACATGTGACACACATGACACACGTTGACACACATGACACACGTTGACACACATGACACACGTTGACACATTGACACACGTTGACACATTGACACACATGACACACGTTGACACACATGACACACGTTGACACACATGACACACGTTGACACACATGACACACGTTGACGCACATGACACACGTGACACACGTTGACACACATGACACATGTTGACACACATGACACATGTTGACACACATGACACATGTTGACACACGTGACACACATGACACACATGACACACATTGACACACATGACACACGTTGACACACATGACACACGTTGACACACATGACACATATGACACACATGACACATGTTGACACACATGACACATGTGACACACATTGACACACATGACACACGTTGACACACATGACACACATGACACACATGACACATATGACACACATGACACATATTGACACAAATGACACATGTTGACACACATGACACACGTTGACACACGTGACACATGTGACACACATGACACACGTTGACACACATGACACACGTTGACACACATGACACACGTTGACACATATTGACACACATGACACGTTGACACACATGACACACATGACACACGTTGACACACATGACACACGTTGACGCACATGACACACGTGACACACGTTGACACACATGACACATGTTGACACACATGACACATGTTGACACACATGACACATGTTGACACACATGACACATGTTGACACACGTGACACACATGACACATGTGACACACATGACACACATTGACACACATGACACACGTTGACACACATGACACACGTTGACACACATGACACACGTTGACACACATGACACATATGACACACATGACACATGTTGACACACATGACACATGTTGACACACATGACACACATTGACACACATGACACACATGACACATGTGACACACATGACACACATGACACACATTGACACACATGACACACGTTGACACACATGACACACGTTGACACACATGACACTCGTTGACACACATGACACATATGACACACATGACACATGTTGACACACATGACACACATGACACACGTGACACACGTGACACACATGACACATGTTGACACACATGACACACGTTGACACACATGACACACGTGACACACGTGACACACATGACACACGTGACACACATGACACAGGTTGACACACATGACACAGGTTGACACACATGACACACGTTGACACATAACACACATGACACACGTTGACGCACATGACACACGTGACACACATGACACACGTTGACACACATGACACACGTTGACACACATGACACTCATGACACATGTTGACACACAAGACACATTGACACACATGACACACGTTGACACACATGACACATGTTGACACACGTGACACACATGACACACGTTGACACACATGACATGTTGACACACGTGACACACGTGACACACATGACACACGTTGACATACGTTGACACACGTTGACACACGTGACACACTTAACACATGTTGACACACATGAAAAATGGTGACACATGTTGACACACATGATACGTTGACACACGTTGACACACGTTGACACAGGTGACACACGTGACACATGTGACACACATGACACACGTTGACACACATGACACACGTTGACACACATGACACACGTTGACGCACATGACACACGTGACACACGTTGACACACATGACACATGTTGACACACATGACACATGTTGACACACGTGACACATGTTGACACACGTGACACACATGACACACATGACACACATTGACACACATGACACACGTTGACACACATGACACACGTTGACACACATGACACACGTTGACACACATGACACATATGACACACATGACACATGTTGACACACATGACACATGTTGACACACATGACACATGTTGACACACGTGACACACATGACACACGTTGACACACATGACACACGTTGACACACATGACACATATGACACACATGACACATGTTGACACACATGACACATGTTGACACACATGACACATGTTGACACACGTGACACCATGACACACGTTGACACACATGACACACGTTGACACACATGACACACGTTGACGCACATGACACACGTGACACACGTTGACACACATGACACATGTTGACACACATGACACATGTTGACACACGTGACACATGTTGACACACGTGACACACATGACACACATTGACACACATGACACACGTTGACACACATGACACACGTTGACACACGTGACACATGTGACACACATGACACACGTTGACACACATGACACACGTTGACACACATGACACACGTTGACACATATTGACACACATGACACACGTTGACACACATGACACACGTTGACACACATGACACACATGACACACGTTGACACACATGACACACGTTGACGCACATGACACACGTGACACACGTTGACACACATGACACATGTTTACACACATGACACATGTTGACACACATGACACATGTTGACACACAACACATGTTGACACACATGACACATGTTGACACACGTGACACACATGACACACATGACACATGTGACACACATGACACACATTGACACACGTTGACACACATGACACACGTTGACACACATGACACACATGACACATGTTGACACACATGACACATGTTGACACACATGACACATGTTGACACACGTGACACATGTTGACACACATGACACATGTTGACACACATGACACATGTTGACACACGTGACACACATGACACACATGACGCACATGACACATGTGACACACATGACACACATTGACACACATGACACACGTTGACACACATGACACACGTTGACACACATGACACACGTTGACACACATGACACATATGACACACATGACACATGTTGACACACATGACACATGTTGACACACATGACACATGTTGACACACGTGACACATGTTGACACACGTGACACATGTTGACACACATGACACATGTTGACACACATGACACATGTTGACACACGTGACACATGTTGACACACATGACACATGTTGACACACATGACACATGTTGACACACATGACACATATGACACATGTTGACACACATGACACATGTTGACACACATGACACATGTTGACACACATGACACATGTTGACACACGTGACACATGTTGACACACATGACACATGTTGACACACATGACACATGTTGACACACGTGACACACATGACACACATGACGCACATGACACATGTGACACACATGACACACATTGACACACATGACACACGTTGACACACATGACACACGTTGACACACATGACACATATGACACACATGACACATGTTGACACACATGACACATGTGACACACATGACACACATTGACACACATGACACACGTTGACACACATGACACACGTTGACACACATGACACACGTTGACACACATGACACATATGACACACATGACACATGTTGACACACATGACACATGTTGACA